ATTTTCAGCAGCAGCAAAAGAGTCTTCTCTTTCGTGCTGCTGCCACCTGGCTTGCTGCAGGAACAGCTGCTGCTGCTGCTGCTGCTGCTGCTGCTGCTGCTGCAGCAGCAACTTGTAGGGCACTGGCGCAGACTTTCTGCTGAAGCCCAAAGGCCCAAACGAAGTTTGGCTGAAAGAGCTGAAGGAGTTTTCTTCGTGAGCAGAAGCATTCGATCTGCTGCGGAAGCTGCTCCACTTTTGCTGCTGCTGCTGCTGCTGCTGCTGCTGCTGCTGCTGCTGCTGGTGCTGGTGGCTGCTGCTGCCGTTGTTGTGCCGCCGCCACGCTGCATGCAAAGAGCCAGAAGACTCTTCGCGTTCTGCAAAAGAAAGCGAGAGTTTGTTCAGCAGCGAAGCAGGCTGCCGCTGCCGCCGCTGCTGCTGCTGCTGCTGCTGCTGCTGCTGCTGCTGCTGCGAGGGGAACTGCAGCAAAGTCAAGCTCTTGGAGGGCCTCGCCCGCCCCTGAGACATCCCCAGCAGGTCCAGCACTTCCGCATCTCCAGCCGCAACATCGAGGGGGCCCCCCATGGGGCCCCCCGGGGGGCCCCCGTAGGGGGCCCCCAGGGGGCCCCCCGAGGGGCCCCCCTCCATAAAGTCCGGGAATTGTTTGGAGTTGTTCTCTGGAGAGTCTTCGAGTTCCAAAGGAGAAAAACTGTCTAAGTCAATTCCATAACGAACTCGCATTTGGGCACTTAAGGCAAAGGCGTCGTCGAAGACTGCGGGGAAAAAGGAAAAGGGGAAAGTTAATTTGTTGTTTATTTGTTTATTTATTTATTTATTTGTTTATCTATTTATTTATTTATTTATTTATTTATTTATTTATTTATTTATTTATTTTATTTGTTTGTTTGTTTGTTTGTTTGTTTGTTTGGTTGTTTGTTTGTTTGTTTTGTTTGGTTGTTTGTTTGGTTGTGGCGGTTTTCGAGTGCAGGGGGCACCGTGTAGGGTTCCAAACCCTAAACCCTAAACCCTAAACCCTAAACCCTAAACCCTAAACCCTAAACCCTAAACCCTCGACCTACGGGGATACCGCTCTGCGATGTAATCCACATCTTTCATCCTTTCAGGGGCATACAGCGAGTAAACTTGTTTCAGCCGGTTCTGCAACTCAAACCCTAAACCCTCAAACCCTAAACCCTCAAACCCTAAACCCTAAACCCTAAACCCTAAACCCTAAACCCGAGTTTTTTTCCCGTTTGACGGCGCTTTTGCAAAGGCAACTTTTTCCTCCCTTGCATGCCAGCCACATTCGGCCCTTCCCGTGCCTGAGGGCTAAGGGCGTAGGGCTTAGGGTTTAGGGTTTAGGGTTTAGGGTTTAGGGTTTAGGGTTTAGGGTTTGCCTTCAGCAAGACATTGATTCCCTTTCTGTATCTGTCCCTCAAAAACTGGTCCACAGTTGCTGGCTTCACAAGGGCCTGTTCGGCGACTGCCTGAAAAATAAAAAGATTTAATTTAATTCATTTAATTTGATTTAATTTAATTGATTTTACTTTTATTTTTATTGGTTCTAATTTAATTTAATTTTATTTTATTTTATTTTATTTTATTTTATTATTTTAATGCTTCTGCTTCTTTCGTCTACTCCGGGCCTTTTTGCGAATTTGTTCACTTGCGTTTTTGCCCGCGCCCACATTTATGAATTATTTATTTATTTATTTATCTATTATTATTAATTAATTAATTAATTAATTTATTTATTTATTTATTTATTTAGTAATCTATTTATTTATTTGTTTATTTATTTATTTATTCACTTTTATTTGTTTCTTTGCCTACCTATTTATTTGTTCGTTTGTTCATTAATTATTTGTTATTAATTTATTTATTTTTTGTTTGTTTGATTTTTATTTGTTTGCTTAGTTATCAAAAGGCAAATTCAGGATTAAAATATTAGCCATAAGAAGAAGAATAATAATAATAGTAATATTAGTGTTAATATTAATATTAATAAAATAATTAGTGTTAATATTAATATTAATAGTAATGTAAATATTAATAGACTAATCGTTACTAATATTAATATTAATATTAATATTAACATAACAATAAATATTAACATTAGCATTAATATTGATATTGATATTAATAGAATAATCATTATCAATATTAATATTATTATTATTACTAATAGCAATAGTTATATTATCATTATTATTATTATTATTATTATTATTATTATTATTATTATTATTATTATTATTATTATTATTATTATTATAAATAACAAACAATAAAAGAAAAGTGGAATTGGTAGAAAGGGCTGTCTGTACACCTGGGCGTCGCGAGGTGTCTATACACCTCAGCTTCCTTTTCTTTTTTTGATTTGAAAAGAAAATAAAATTCAATTTAATTTTAATTAATTAATAAATAAAATAAACTTCAATTTAATTTTAATTTATTAATAAATAAAACCAAATTGAATTTAGTTTTAACTAAATTGAAAATAAAAAATCGGCTTTTGCTGAAAGCTGGCGGCGCTGTCTTCGGTCTTTTCTTTTTTTTTATATTTTTATTTTCTCTCTTTTCTTTTTATTTTTCTTTTTTCTTTTTCTTTTTTCATTTGATTTAAATAGATTCATCAAATAATATTAAAATGGTAAACACCAAATTAAATTGTTTAGTAATTTGCCGCGCGGTGGTTTTAGGGTTTAGGGTTTAGGGTTTAGGGTTTGGATATACTCTGTTTGCGACGAATGTGGCATTTTAGTGGTGCTTTTGTTTCTTCAGAGATGCCGAGGGTTTCCTTGCAAACCCTAAACCCTAAACCCTAAACCCTAAACCCTCCGCACTCACGGGAGACTCACTCCAAGTTTCATTGAGTCCTGTCTCTTCTTCACCAAATCGAAGTATTCAATCAGCATCGCCTCCACGCCTGGCCGTAAACCCTAAACCCTAAACCCTAAACCCTAAACCCTAAACCCTAAGCCCTAAACCCTACGCTAAAGCCTTAAACCCTCCTCTGAAACCCGCAATGCGCAATGTGGCTTTTGATTTGCCGTGTCTTATCTCAGCGCTGTAGTTTAGGGTTTAGGGTTTAGGGTTTAGGGTTTAGGGTTTAGGGTTTAGGGTTTCGACATACTCTGTTTGCGGCGGATCGAACAATTTGTCATATCGCTGCCATAATTCTTTCTCAAGAATTCATTAAGTCTAAAAGACTGAAAGTACAGAACTCCAAAACCCTAAGTCCGAATTCCCGAACCCTAAACCCTAAACCCTAAACCCTAAACCCTAAACCCTTGAGGAAAAGCATCCGCTTCTAAATGCAACCGTACTGTCTGCTCCCAAACTTAAAAATCTCACTTGCAAAAAATTATCTAGCAATCACGGTAAAGGGATTAGGGTTTAGGGTTTAGGGTTTAGGGTTTAGGGTTTAGGGTTTAGGGTTTACGTCTCCGTCGAAATCTTCGAAAATGTGGTCCACTTGAGACAGCCTTCGGATGTCGTGCTGCCTGAAGAAGTTGGTCAGTTTGCGTTTGTTGACTGAAACGCCAAACCCTAAACCCTAAACCCTATACCCTAAACCCTAAACCCTAAACCCTAAACCCTAAACCCTTAGCAGTAGCTGCATCATTTGAACGCACGTTGCGGCAGGGCAGCAACTGGCACTGCCGCATCTAAATAAGTTGATCGCAGAAGATTTGGCGTTTAGGGTTTAGGGTTTAGGGTTTAGGGTTTAGGGTTTAGGGTTTAGAGGCTCTGCGGGTCTTACTGTCTCTGGCGTACTGAGCCACATCGGTCAAGTCTTTGCCATATGTCTCTCTGAGCTCTTCGTTGAATTCCTGCGCGCCCCAAACCCTAAACCCTAAACCCTAAACCCTTAACCCTAAACCCTAAGCCCTAAACCCTAAACCCTAAGCCGGGAACTAACCAGCGAGGTTCTCCATTTAAAAAGAAAAGGACTTGGCCAGATTTGCGACAAAACAAACACCCTATCACGTCGCCTTCCTGCACAAACCCTAAACCCTAAACCCTAAACCCTAAACCCTAAACCCTAAACCCTAAACCCTAAGCCCTGGAAGATTCGGGGGCAAGCGCTGCTGCTGCGAAGCCGGCGCGCCCGCAGATGCAAAACGCAGATCCACCCTAAACCCTAAACCCTAAACCCTAAACCCTAAACCCTAAACCCTCAGACCTAAACCCTAAGCCATTAACTTGCCACCAGCACTTCACCGTCAGCCACAGACTGCTGGTTTCCAGCAAACACTTGACCTGAAAAAATCCAAACACAACACCCTAAACCCTAAACCCTAAACCCTAAACCCTAAACCCTAAACCCTAAACCCTAAACCCTAAACCTACGCAGCATTTATTTGGGGCATCCGGAGGCTTCGGAAAACGCAAAGCAAATCGCTGGCACCTCTCCCGCAGCGCCAAACCCCAGACCCGCACTCCAAACCCTAAACACTAAACCCTAAACCCTAAACCCTAAACCCTAAACCCTAAACCCTACCGGTGGAGAGCAGCGCGCAGCTGCCTGGCAGCAGCCCCGGCAGGTGGTGGGGGGGATAAGGAGCAGCAGCAACTCCAATTGAAACATAACACTTAAAAGGGGTATAAGAGAGCAACTCCACTTCGAAGTAGGCCTCCGCCTGCAGCAAGGGTTTAGGGTTTAGGGTTTAGGGTTTAGGGTTTAGGGTTTAGGGTTTAGGGGTTCGAGCGCCGGCAAGCCGGGGAGCGCAATACCCCGCCGCCCCGGACTAAAGCCCAGCCGCAGATTGTGATCCGTAAACTCTTCACCCTAAACCCTAAACCCTAAACCCTAAACCCTAAACCCTAAACCCTAAACCCTAAACCCTAAACCCTCAAACTTTAGCCATTGGGCCTTAGTCCAAGAGCCTGGAAAGTCCAAGCCCCTCGCCTTCCACACCAAACCCTAGCCGCTGCCCGATGTGTCGTAAACCCTAAACCCCAAACCCCAAACCCCAACCCCCAAACCCCAAACCCTAAACCCTAAACCCTAAACCCTAAACCCTAAACCCTACTTGCTGGGGCAGGGGCAGCGAGGACTGGAGAACGACGGGGAAGGCCTCGACGAGCACAGCTTGTCCAATTTCTCCTTTTTTTTTGTCTCCAAAAGGCAAAAAAGGAGACAAAGTGGCTTGCTGCAGCAGCTCTTTGGAGGTTTGCAGCTGCTGCAGCAGCAAGTGCATGGTGTCGAAGCTAATGCTGCAGCAGCCGGGCTGCTGCTCCTCCACGGAGCACAGCCGGTTTGCTGCTGCTGCTGCTGCTGCAGCAGCAGCAGCAGCAGCGTCGGGAGCCCCGCCGGCCTCGCCGGAGGCCGGGGGGGCCCCTCCAGACGCCTGCGCTGCTGCTGCTGCTGCTGGTGCTGCTGCTGCTGCTGGTGCTGCTGCTGCTGCTGCTGCTGCTGCAGCAGGTGGGAGGGCCCCTTGAACCCGCACTGCCACGCCCTGGATGTGGGCAGTAGCAGCAGAAGGGACAATTGCGCTCCAGCGGTGGTTTCCCTGGCGGGGGGCAGCAGCAGCAGCAGCAGCAGCAGCAGCAGCAGCAGCAGCTTCCTCTTCAAAGCCCTCGGGCAGCTTCATGTGCCACTGGGAAGGGCCCTTGTCCATAACAACAGCCCTAAATCAACAGAAGCAGCACAACCAACTGCTGCTGCTGCTGCAGGTCAGGCAGCAGCAGCAGCTGCTTTCTTTCTCTGGTTGGGGGGAAATAAAGAGCAGCAGCAGCAGCAGCAGCAGCAGCAGCAGCAGCAGCAGCAACAGCAGCAGCTGCAGTTGGCCCGGCTCCTCTAGCAAGCAGTGCACCCCACTCTCTCCCCAAACACCGCCACCATCAGCAGCAGCAGCAGCAGCAGCAGCAGCAGCAGCAGCAGCAGCAGCAGCAGCAGCGGCGGACCAGTCGGCATCGGTGAAGGCGGGGGGCTGTTGGTCTGCTGCTGCTGCTTGCTGCTGCAGCCCGCGGGCCCGAAAGCCTTCGGAAAACAAAAAACAAATATCTGCTTCGACTTCAGTGCGGCGTTTGAAGGCCGCGCAGACGGCGCCCATCTTCAGGTGTACAGACACCGCAGCTCGCGGCCGCGGGTGTACGCGCAGCTCGCGCAGCTCGCTGCGGTGTACAGACACCCCACACTCCGCAGCAGCAGCACCGCAGACACCCCACACGCCGCAGCAGCAGCAGCAGCAGCAGCAGCTGCACAGACACCCCACACTCGGGCCTCAGGTCTACAGACACCTCAGCTTCCCGCGCAGGTGTACAGACAGCTCAGCCGGAGGCCGCAGGTGTACAGACAGCTCGGCTGCCCGCTTCAGGTGTACAGACACCTCGAGCTGGGGCCTCAGGTGTACAGACAGCTCGCTCTGAGGCCTCAGGTGTACAGACACCTCAGCTTCCCGCTTCAGGTGTGCAGACACCTCAGCCTGCAGCCTGAGGTGTACGTACACCTGAAGATCAGAGCGCTGCACCTCAGGGCGGGCGCTCAGGTGTACGTACACCTCAGGAGAAGGCCAGACCTCCGGTGTACGTACACCTCAGGCGCGGGAGTTCGGGTGTACGTACACCTGAGGAGAAGGCCAGCAGTGAGGTGTGCGGAAACAGCAGGGGCGGGCGCTGGGGTGTACGTACACCTCAAGGTGGGAGCTGCGGTGTACGTACACCTCAGGCGTGGGAGCTGCGGTGTACGTACACCTCAGTGGCTGGCGCTGGGGTGTACGTACACCTCGAGAGGCGCAGGGGCGGCGGGAGAAGGCGCTATTTGCTGCAGCTTTTCGGCGAATTGAAGCCTCTCTTGGCCTCCCAAAGACGCAGCGCTGCTGCTGCTGCTGCACTAAAAGCCTCCCTACAACTGCCCTGAGTGGCGCTAGCTAGCTGCTGCTGCTGCTGCTGCTGTTGCTGCTGCTGCTGCTGCTGCATCTGGCTCAAGTCTAGGGCTTCGCGGCCCCCGGCACTAACAAAAGTAATCAATAAATAATTGGGAAGGGCCAAATCTAAGGAAAAGCTAAAAGGCTTTTCTTTTGAGCTAATTGCGTTTCCCGTAGATGCGCATACACCTCAGCGCGAGACAGCCTGCAGCCCGATCCGGCATTTGTTTTCTTCTTTTCTCTGAACTAAGCGCCAAAATATATTTATTTTATTATATTTAATCCAATTTATTCACTCTAAACTCTGTATTCTTCTTTTTAATGCAGCTTTCCCCCTGCTCTACACCAACGCAGCCCCGAGCCAGCCCGGGCGTGCATGCGAGCAGCCAGCAGGTGCCGTGAGGCTCCAGAAAGCGAAACAAAAGCGCTTTAAATCCAAAACTTTGAATTAAATTCACCACTTAAATTGTTTTAAATATTAATAAATCATTTCCTCTTTTTCGCGACTTCCGACCCGCCAAGAAGCCCCAAGTTTCAGGTGTACAGACACCTTCTGCACACGCCTGCCGAAACCTCCTGTTCAATTTCGACCAAACAAACGCGATTTGAAGCTAAAATGAAACAAAAAGCAAATTTATTTAATTCATTTAATTCATTTAATTTATTTCATCAATTTAATGAACTTAATTGGCCGAAATGACGCAATTAATTCAAGTGATGGAACTGATTGGATTACACGGCTGAGACGATGTGTGCGGCGCGGGGCCAAACAGAAGACGCCAAACAAAGCCCAAAAAGAAACAAAAGAATTTCAAAATTATAAATTCAAAAATTAAATAAATAAGAATTAAATAAAGAATAATTAAATGAAAAAGAATTGAATAACAAAGATTAAATCAAAGGGGATTAAATCGAAAAGGCTTTCTCCGTGGAGCGCATCCGACAGCTGCAGCTTAAACCAGATAGAGAAACGAAGGAGCTAGCTGGGGCTAGCTAGCTGGAGCTAGCTAGCTGGAGCTAGCCAGCTGGGGCTAGCTAGCTGGGGCTAGCTAGCTGGGGCTAGCTAGCTGAAGCTAGCTTGATATGGGGAGGCAGCCGCGGCTGGCTGGCTATGGCTGCATTGAGCTAAGCCCAGGTAGCTAGCTAGCTAGCTGCCTGCTTTTGGCTCAATGCAGCCAGTCCACTGCATTTGGCTAGCTGTACCCAGCTAGCCGTAGCTGGCTAGCCGTAGCTAGCCAGCCGTAGCTAGCTAGCCGTAGCTAGTTAGCCGTAGCTAGCTAGCCGTAGCTAGCCAGCCGTAGCTAGCTAGCCGTAGCTAGCTAGCTGTAGAGGGATTCTAAACACTAAAGAAACTACCAGCTTTCCCCCTGGAAGAAAGAAACAGCCACGAAGTAGCTAGCTGCAGCTACTGGGGAGGAGCCCTCGCTAGCTAGCTATTTTGAGAAGCCCTGGCTAGCTAGCCACACACTACAGCTTTGCCTAGCTAGCCACACACTACAGCTTTGCCTAGCTAGCCACACACTACAGCGTTGCCTAGCTAGCCACACACTACAGCGTTGCCTAGCTAGCCACACACTGGCTAGCTAGCCACACACTGGCTAGCTAAGCACACACTGGCTAGCTAGCCACACACTGGCTAGCTAAGCACACACTGGCTAGCTAGCCACACACTGGCTAGCTAAGCACACAATGGGTAGCTAGCCACACACTGGCACGCATTATGGCTTTGGCTAGCTAGCCAGAAAATAAAGCCTGGCGTAAATGAAATTCAAAATAAATCAATTACATTGATTAAATTGATTAAATTAAAAGAACAAATTAAATGAAATAAATAAATTAAATGAATTAAATAAATTAAATAAATTAAACGAATTAAATAAATTAAACGAACTAAACTGAACTGATGAAATGCAAATAAAGCCAAGTGGAAAATGAATTTAAATTAAATGAATAAAATCGAATGAATGAAATGAAAACAATTCAAACTAAATGAGTTAAATGAAATAAACAAAAAATAAATAAATATCAGAAAAAGAATTTAAATTAAATGAATTAAATCAAATAAATGAAATGAAAATACTTTTAAATAAAACAAATATATATCAAAAGTTTGTATTTAGGAAATGCAAATGCATGCATGCAAAAGGCCGCAAGTAAAAAAGTTAATTAAAATAAATTTTAATGTTTATATAAATATTTATTAAAAAATAAAAATAAATATATAAAAAACAAATTGCAAGTGGCATTGTTTTTAATAAATAATCCAGTAAAACTACAATAAAATAAGAAATAAAAATAATTAAAATAAAATAAAACAATTAAACAAAAATGCATGCAAGGGCGCGGGAAAGAGCCCTGGGGTGTATGTACACCTGCACTCCACGCATGCATGCACTTGGGAAAAAGTTAAAAATAAAAATCGTCTTAAGGAAATAAATATTTAAATGCATTTAATTAAAAACCATTTAATAAATTAAATCAATTTAAATGGAAATGCATTTATTTAAAACTCAAAAGACCAAACTGTCCAAAGAGCGAGAAAGACAAAAAAGAAAAAAGGAATTAAAAAGAAAAAAGGAATTAAAACAGAAATGAAAAGAAATTTAAAATGAGACAAAAAAGATGAAAGGAAATAAAGAAAAATAAAAATAAAATGAGAAATAAAAGATAAAATTAAAAAAATAAAGAAATAAAATAAAGTGGAATTTAAAAATGGCCGGAAAAGAAGAAAAGGAAATTAAAAAAAAACGCAAAAGGGGACAAAATGGAGATAATGAAAAAAAATAAAAAAGAATAAAAAGGAGATAAAAAGAGACAAAAAAGAAATAAAAAGGAGATAAAAATGGAATAAAAAGGAGACAAAAAAGATCAAAAAGAGGTTAAAAAGAGACAGAGGAGGGAATTAAAAAGAGACAAAAAAGAAATTAAAAAAAGAAACAAAAAGGAAAAGAAAGACAGGCGCTGCTGCAGCAGCTGCTGCTGCAGCAGCAGCTGCTGCAGCAGCAGCTGCAGCGGCAGCAGCAGCTGCAGCGGCAGCAGCTGCTGCTGGCCGAATATTTGCATGCAAATTAAAGACGAAATAAAAATAAAAAGAATTAAAAAGAAATAAATAGACTTCTGAATGATAATTAAAATGTTTATTTGCGAAGACATTTTAAAAAGCCAGATGCCGAAGGCTCTGCGGTGTACGTACACCACCTCCAGTGCTCAAGGACTTCAAAATGTTTGAAATTTAATTTTAATTTTAATTTTAATTTTAATTGTAATTTTAATTTTAATTTTAATTTATTTGAACTTCAATTCCTTCGAAGTTAAACTCGAAATTAAATTCAAATTTAAATTCAAATCCAGTTCAAACAAATCAAACTTTAAATGCAAACGCCCCGCAAATGAATTGCAAATCTGCAAATAATAAATAAATAAATAAATGACTAAATAAATAAGTAAATAAATAAAATAAATAAATAAGTAAATAGATAACTAAATAACTAAATAAATAAATAAATAAAATAAATAAAAATAAATAAATAAATAAGTAAATAAGTGAATAAAATGAATAAACAAATAGATAAATAATAGATTAATAAATAAATTAAATAAATAAATAAAAATAAATAAATAATAAAACTAAAAGCTGAAGTCTGTAGAAAAGAAAAAGTTGAGAAAAAAGAAGTTAAAGCGCTCGCCGCTTTGGAAAAGAAAAAAAACAGAAAAGATCATTTCAGCAAAAAAGTGGCAAAAAGTGTTTAATTAAAAGTAACAAAAAAGTGGCAAAAAGTGGCAAAAAAGTGGCAGAAAAGTGGCAGAAAAGTGGCAAAAAAGTGTTTAAAAAATAGCAGCAAAGTAGCAGCAAAATGGCAGAAAAGTAGCAGCAAAGTAGCAGCAAACTAGCAGCAAATTAGCAGCAAAATAGCAGCAAAGTAGCAGCAAAAAGCAGCAAAAGTAGCAGCAAAAAGCAGCAAAAGAGCAGCAAAAAGAAGAGTTCAAATGATTTTTTTGGACCTGAAGAATCGTTTGAAGAAGAAGGCGGAGAGCAAACTGGCGGCGACGAGGAGGCAAATATTAAGCGCCGAAAACAGCAGCAAAGTGGCAGCAGCAGCTTCGGTTTGCTGCCGCATTTTTTCGTCTTTTTCTCTTAAAAACAAAATGTTGTTGTGAAACAACTTCAGCTTGTCTTGCAGCTGCAGCAGCTGCAGCAGCACTTCGTCCAGCTGCTCCGCCTTCGCCAGCTGGCTGTAGTCCCGCGCCGCGGGGCCCCACAGCAGCTGCGCCTCCACCGCTATTTGCTGCTTCGAAATATTCTTCACACAAAACATGTGAAGTCCCGGCTTAGTGCTGGTAAAGCCTGTCTTCACGCGGTCTCTGCTGCTTTGCTGGAAGACGGGGGTTTTGCTGGCGGGGTCCGTGGCCTGCACGTGCAGCAGGAGGGGGCCCCCGGGGCCCCCGGGGGCCCCCGGGGGGCCCCCCGGGGCCCCCGCGGGCGGGTATACCACCCGAAACTCACCCACTATCAACACGTGCTTGCTCAGCTGCTCGCCGATGCACCGCCGCTGCCCCGGGCCCAGGTCGATCGTCGCTTCGAAGGCTGCGGTGTACGTACACCCCAGCACCACCGCGCACGCCGCCGCCGCCCACACCCACGCGCGCGCAGCCGCGATCAAACCCCAACCGGCCCTTCCCATGGTTTTCTAACCCCAAATTCGAACTCTAAACCCCCGAAAACCCCCGGAAAGCCGCAAAAAGAAGCCCAATGAGCCCCCAATCGCCCACAGCCGCCGCCAGCAGCTGCTGCCGCCGCCAGCCGCCACCAACTTGAACGCCGCCGATTACGCTCCCCGAAACCGGCTTTCGCCCGCAATCTCTCCTTTAAAACCTTCAAAACTACTAAGCGCGTCTTTTCAGTCCAAAAAGAAAATCATTTCCCCGCAATTCCACCCAGATTCCACTTTCCCCCGCCGCAGCAAGCTGCGACAGAACATGCAGCAGCAGCCTGGCAGCAGCGGGGAGCCGCCGCGTCTTGCTGCTGCTGCCTGCCTTTCGCTTTCTTTCTTTCTTTCTTTTATTTATTTTATTCAAATCTTTTCTCCTTTTCAAATCCCAGCTTTCCGGCAGTCCGCAGACTCCGCGCGCGCCCGCGGCGCCGCCAGACAACCCCTGCCGACTCGCAGCCACAGTTTGTCCTCGCAGAGTCCTAAACTTCTTTTAAATACCTTTTAAATATCTTTTTAAATATCTTTTTAAATATCTTTTCGACTTTTATTTCCTTTTTTGCGCCTTTTCGACTTCAAGCCGCTTTCCAGCGCCTGCGACCGCTGCAGCAGAGCAGCTGCCCAGACACCCGAGAGTTATAGACCAATGCAGCAACAATAGGCAAATAAAACAATTAATAGCTCTTTAAATAGCCAATTAATTCCATTTTCTACAAATAATAACCATTTAAATCTCCCATTTTCCCCTTTTTCAACAAATCTATTCCTAATTTCACAAACCATTCAACTTCCCCTAACCCACTAAACACCGGACTCCAACTCCGCCCCCAGAAGCTCCCAAGCAGCCGCAGCCTCCGCAGACCCTTAAGACCCTAAAAGAGGCCCTTTAGGGGCATTAGGGGGCCCCCTGGGGCCCCCCAGGGGCCCCCGGGGACATTAGGGTGGCCCCAGGGGCATTAGGGGGGCCCCCTACGGGGCCCCCTGAAGCCTTACAGGGGCCCCCAAGGGGCCATCAAAAGGCCCCCAAAAAGCCCTCAAGGGGCCCCCTTGGGGCCCCCATGGACCCCCAAAGGGCCCCACAAAAAGATTTTAAAGAAAAGCGCCATTAGGCTCTTCTAAAGGGCCCCCAAGGGGCCCCTAGGCGCCACTTGGGGGCCCCTAGGGGCCCCCAAGGGGCCTCTATAAGGCGCTCCCAGGGGCCCCAAGTAGGCCCCCGGGGGGCCCCCCGCGGGCCCTCTGGGGGCCAACTGGGGGCCCCCAGGGGCCCCCAAAGAAGGTTTATAAGGGACTTTTAAAATGCCCCCGAGGGGCCCCCAAAGAGCCCCAAAGCTTTGCTGCTGCTGCTGCTACTGCTGCTGCTGCTACTGCTGCTGCTGCTGCTACTGCTGCTGCTGCTGCTGTGATGCTCAGACTAAAGTAACTGGCGCTTTTAATTAATTTAATTCCCATAATTTGTTTTTTGTCTTTTTGAAATTAAAAAGAAGGAAGATGCCCGCAAAGTTAATAAGCAATGTTTTATTTATTACTTTATTTCTTTATTTATTTATTATTAATTTCACTATTCACTAATTAATTAATTAATTAATTAATTAATTAATTAATTAATTAATTAATTAATTGTTTATTATTTATTATTTGTTTGACTTTCAGTCTTCATATTTTAGCATTAACTCCTCAAGAGAAATGAAGGAACCAAAAAAAAGAAAAGCAGAAAAAGAGGGTGGGGTTCTATAAACCCTAAACCCTAAACCCTAAACCCTAAAACCCAAACCCTAAACACTAAACCCCAACTGCTAGTTAGAGCTGCAAAGGCCACCAAGTAAGCCGCCGGCTCAACCATTCAATTGAACATTCGATTTAAAATAAATTAAATAAACAAAAGTAAAATATAATAAATAAATTAAAAATAAATAAATAAATAAATAAATAAATTAATAAATAAATAAATAAATAAATAAGCTGCAAATAAATGAATAAATTGATAATTCTTTGTTCCTCATGCACTGTCCGGGGCCTGTGCATGCGCTCTCACCGCGAGTATAGCCCAATCTTGGTCGCTGCTGCATCTTTTTGAATTTAAATCTTTTAAAAATAATTCTTTTTTAAAATAAAAGATATAAATATATTAAAGGATTTAAAAATAGGGAATAAGATGCTCAAAGAGCAGCCAGCGTGGGGGCCCCTGCGGGGCCCCCAGGCTGGCTGGGGGCCCCCCTGGCGCTTCTCTCGCGGTGGGGAGGGTACTAAATAGAAGAAAAGGGGGAAAACTTGGAAATTAAGTAAAAATAAATAAAAATAGATTTGAAAGGTCTTTTAAAAGTGATTATTATGAATCCAACAACCCCCTCCTGCACCCGGAGGTGTCCATACACCCTACTGGGGGTCCCGCGCTCGGCCTCCCCCAGAACCATTCGAAGAGCATTTCGCCAAAAAGCTCTTCTTTGCCACCCTGACAAAATCCAGAATACCAAATTAAACTCAAAATCACCTCCAATTCCTCCCTCAGGGGCCCCTGGGGGCCCCCGGGAGGCCCCCGAGGGGGCCCCTCAGGGGGCCCCCCAGGGGCCCCCTTCCCCAGATAGCCCCCATGCGGTGGGGCCCCCCTCATCTCTACCCCAGGGGCCCCTGGGGGGCCCCCCAGAGGCTCCCGGTGGTGGGCGGCCCCCAAGAGAGAGGGCCCCGGGGGGGCCCCCCTCTGGGGGGCCCCCCATGGAGGGGGGCCCCCCAGGGGGGCCCCCCGCAGGGGAGGCCCAGGGGGCCCCCAGGGGGGCCCCCGGGCCCGAAAAGGGTTTGTTGGATTTTAGTTTTGTTGATTTGGTTGCTGCTTATGAATTGCTGCTGACCCCAGGGAGGCGGGAAGAGCTAGAAAGCGAAGAATTAAGTAGGAAATAAACAAAGTTTTGCATGCGCTAAACCCTAAACCCTAAGTCCCAGCGCTGCGCCCCAAACCCTAAACCCTAGCCTCAGCCCTAAACCCTAGACTTCAGCTTGAGCCCCTTAGCCCTAAGTCCCAGAGCTCCGCCGTAGACCCTAAACCCTAGACCTCGAACTCAAACCCTAGAAGCCCTAAACCCTAGAAACAAGCTCCAAACCCTAAACCCTAGAAACGAGCTCCAAACCCTAAACCCTAAACCCTAGCGCGGGTTTGTTTGCAGGGAACGCCCCCCACGTGTGCTGGGTGACCCTGGAAGAAACCGAAAGTCTCGAAAAAGATTTTTCAGTTTTTGTTTGTCGCTGTGGAGAAACAATTCCTCTAAACCCTCAAGAAGTCCTTTTGGAGGGGCCCCTGCAAGAGTTTTGCCCCACTTGCGGCATTCTTTACGTTTTTTACGAACCCTAAACCCCAAACCCTAAACCCTAAACCCTCAAGAAGTCCTTTTGGAGGGGCCCCTGCAAGAGTTTTGCCCCACTTGCGGCATTCTTTACGTTTTTTACGAACCC